AGAGCTTCTGTAGCTGAAAGCATGTTTAGTCAGCTTTTGCTGGTCCATTAGCTGCAACCTCGCTTGGATGGACTTAGTCTGACTACAGCATACCTATGTATTGTTACCTCCTGTTTGGACTGTTGCAATGCTTTGTATGTGGTGCTGCCTTAAAAAAATTCTCCAGAAACTGTAGTTGAGCCTGAATAGAGCTGTGAGATTATTAATTGGGTCTTCAACTGTATTATGTCAGTGTTCGATGGTTGTGTGAACCCTCATACCATTTCCATGTCCAATTAAAAATGTTGGCAGTCGCCCCTAAATCTCTTGATAGATTGACTATCTATCAGCAAGGTGATGTCTGCTTTTCAAGAAGGTGTCTAGATTTGTCATCGTTTTCCTCCCAAGAAGCAGGCGTCTTTTAATTTCGTGACTGCTGTCACTATCTCCAGTGATCTGGCTGCCAAGTAAAATCTGTCACTGCCTCCATATCTTCCCCTTCGATTTGCCAGTGGCCATGATCTTAGTTTTTTTGATGTTGAGCTTCAGACCATTTTTGGCGCTCTCCTCTTTCATCCTCATTAAGAGGTTCTTTAATTCTTCCTCACTTTCTGCCATCAGAGTGGTATCATCTGCATATCGGAGGTTGTTGACATTTCTTCCAGCAATCTTAATTCCAGTTGGGGATTCCTCCAGTCCAGCCTTTTGCATGATGTATTCTGCATACAAGTTAAATGAGCAGGGAGACAATATACAGCCTTGTCGTACTCTTTTCCCAATTTTGAGCCAATCATTTGTTCCATATCCAGTTCTAACTGTTGCTTCCTGTTCCACATATAGATTTCTCAGGAGAGAGATAAGGTGGTCAGGCACTCCCATTTCTTTAAGAACTTGCCATAATTTGTTGTGGTCCGCACAGTCAAAGGCTTTTGCATAGTCAATGAAGCAGAAGTACTGGGTCAAGTGACGTAGTATGCAACAGATAATGCCTGTGAGGATTTCTTAATTTGAGGTAATTCACCTCCAAAAGTTACACATTTTGATTAAGTAACAAACAGGATTTCTGCTATTGTGTTGCTTACTATATAAATAATATGTTGCTTACTTATAGTTTCTATCAAACTTTCATTGATTAGAAGTTTATTACACATGCAAAATAATATGGCAACTGTATTTGATCTCAAAATATACATTTCCTTCTGTATACTATACGAGAACAGTGAGCAGAAAATTCAACTATCAGAATTTTCCAGAAAAAAGCAATTGTTTCACAGTGCAAAATGTGTGGTTTTATATATCCAGTGGGATGGTGTATAAACTTTTTGGTAGTTGCTAGTTTTCCTAACTCAATAATCAGACGAATTAGAATACAAGTGAACGAGTCTGTAAAGTATAGGCTTCCTGTGCTTCTAAATGGAATACAGGGTGTGTGGTAATTTGATTTAATTACCCCATTATCAAGGTCATAAAAATATGCTTTATGCAGTTCTCATAATGCTTGGAATCAGAAAACATATTCTATATAGAATGATTGCTTTTTGTGTCCGTAGACAATGGATTTATTATTAAGAGCCACATGTCAACTTTGTTTTAGCAGGTTTCTGTTAAATTCAGTTAATATTAAAAGGTAATTTTACTTTGGTTGAAATTTTAAAAATCGAATGCATTTGGAATTAAAAGCAGCCAAAATGTCTAAAAGCAAACAGACTAAAAGCTAGCATTCCCCCTTAAAACATCAGAGACATCAGTCTACCTTAATGCAGACATTAGGTGTTTCAGTATTCGATCTTGCAGTGTTTAACGTTTATACAGTGGTGCCTCGCTAGACGATGATAATCTGTTCCACTGAAATCGCTGTTTAGTGAAATCATTGTCTAGCAAAAAGCATTTCCCATTGGAATGCATTGAAACCTGTTAAATGTGTTCCAATGGGGAAGAATTGTCGTTGTCTAGCAAAGATCACCCATAAGAAAGCTGCTTTCCAAACCGCCGATCAGCTGTTTAAATCGCTGTATTGCGAAGCTTAGGTCGCGAAAACACCTGTTTTGCGAGCCTGGAGGAAGCTGTCAAAATTGTCGTCTAATGAAAATCGGTTTGCGAAGTAGGGACCAAACATTGCCCATCGAAATTCCGCCATAGGAATCACTGTTTTGCTACTCGCTATAGCGATTGCAAAAAGTCAATGTCTAGGAAAAAACCATCATGCGGGGTAACTGTCTAGCGAGGCACCACTGTATTTGTATCCACATAGTGCTGCTGCTGCTGTTGTTTGAAATAATTTCTTGGCCTTTTCTACCATATATCAATAATACATTTATGTATGCCATATAGAGCTCTGCTATTCACCACCATGTTCCATTGTGAAAGATTCTGCAGTGTGTTGTGCCATGCATGTCAGGCCTTAGCCCTGGCCGACATCAGTGTACACCCAGATGCCTTTGAGAATCTGTATTTAATGATAAAATCATTTAAGGAGGTCAAGCTGTCTTACAGTGAAGCCTGTCCACTATTTTACATGTCATAACTTCTTTCCTGAAATACAGTATAAAAATAATTGATATTTGTGCTGACTGCAAAATCTAATATATATGTCTCAATCCTTGTATATATTTTTTAAAAAGTTTACATTTTAAGAAATGAGAAAAAGATTTTTCATATTTTAGATATGAAACCTCTTTGGCCAAGATATATGTGGTAGCATGAATACTTTCTGATGGGTATCCTTTTCCCAAGTCTATAGTATAGATGGATCCATATGTTAAAACAAGTTTCCACAGCTGGGTCAGCCATATGAAGTGCTCAGAACGCTTTACATGGAGGGAGAAAAGGCTGCAATAGCATTTACTATTGTAACTATTATTTTAGAATAATTCATAATATATCCCAAAAATCATAATCTAGTATGAACTGGTAACACATTGGT